TGGGGAAAATAATAAAAAATAACAGAAGTGCACCAATACCACTGAAAACAACGGCGGTCATGTATATTTCATAATTGTTTCCGTTTATCCGCAAAAATGCGAATTTCAAAAAAACATCTCTGGCCTGACCCCACCCCCCCCCACAATTTCCTGGATCCGCCCCTGCAGAGAATGTCTAACTGTGTCTGTCATTCAAAGGCACCGACACATATTATTATCCCTGCTCATTTGGCTGACGACATCCGAAGAGTCCCGAGACCATCTCAGCTCCCCAGGGACATATGCTAGCCTGATGCTTCCATTCCAGGTGTAAATGTAGGTATTCACTCCAGGGCGGAGAGGGGCACGCAAGGGTGCAGTGATTTGCCCAAGGGTCACAACAAGTAATCTCTTGTCAGGGTTCACAATCGAGACGCTACGAATCCGGACTACCTTGCCACATGTCAACAGTGCAAGTGCCTTCATCGTATTTCGTGTTTAAAAAGCAGGTGGGGGTGGGGTTGTGCGGACTTTAATCTATTTATGTGCCAAGTATCACCTGCTCACCAATTTCAAATCGGCAAAAACGACGCTTAATAAGGACAGTACTTTTTCCTATTTTTCAGCAAGGACAGCTCGACTCTGAAAACATTCCCGGGCTTACATTTCTGGCGTCTTGATACCTCGCTCGTAAGCTCGCTCGCGGTAGGCCTTGCAAGCCATCAGGATGCTCTCCGTTCCACCCGATGTCATCTGAGTACGTTGAAAAAAACGTTATTACGGCAACTTCACCTGTGCTTGTGGGAAAGTGAAAAGGGTATCGGCTCAGCTGTGTGAAAGATAGATGTTTCCACACTACACTTATCTCCCTGTTATACTGTGAAAACTCACGGTCCCGCAGGCGTCCGGTCCACCGTGGAAGAACTCACAGCACATGGCGATCACTTCCACCTCCATCTTGCGGGGGCCCCGAAACACGCCTGGGTGGAGGAGGTTGTCGCCGACAAACAAATTGAATATCTGCAGACAGGAGAAGTTTTAATTTCCACTCACAGACCACAACAATCTTATCAATATCAAGTATACCTTGGCTCGGGATATAACCTAGGCCGGGGGCCACACAGGTGACCAGAGTGTCTGTGAGAATTGAGCACAGAGGAGTGGAGGTTTTCACAATCAAAAGATGAACGGAATAAAACCGGCCCCAGTTAAGTGACACATTAGTGACAGGTCGTAACTTGACAATCAACACATCTAGTTTAGGTGGAGGCCCGGATTACTCAATCTTCGAGCTCATGCATGCGTCACATACGCACAGGCCTCTGGATGGCATCCAATTTATGATTAGAACGCGCTCTGCTTAATTTGCACATAGCAGTAGAGCACATCTGCAGTAGACCTTTGTGCTTTCAGGAAAGAAATCCATGTGGGTTAAAACCCAAAACCCATGCGAGTTTGCAACCATTACCAACGCCCATCAGTCACCTCACCTTGGCCATAAACTTGTCATGCTCCTCTCCACAGTTGTACACTGCGCCCGACAGACGACCGCCCTGCCAGTCAATTTTTTCTGGAAGAGAAAATTGACAAGTGCCAAAAATCTGTCGACCAACTTTGTTTCATCGTCTTACGGCAGTGCATGACCGGTTGAAGGAGCATGCTTTATCGGACTGAGCGTAACTTAGTATTTCATGTGGCAGAGAAAAAAGCTTTCCTCTCTCTTGATAAAAATCTCTCTCCTGACAAATATTTCCATCTCACTTTTTCCACTGAGTCCACTCTGAAATGAGCTGATGGCAGAACAGGGTGGAATAAGGTAGCTGCTTTGTCACGAAAAATGTTCGATTTCTTTTTTAACTTTAAGAGAAAAAAAATGCCATTTACTTGCATTGCATCAATTTCATTAAAAGTGTAGCCTGTGATGATGTCAATCACCATGGTAGCATGATTCACTGGTACCAGACACTTCATACAATTTGCTCGTCGCCAGTGCCCGAACAGGGCCCTAGGAAGGGCTGATGGCCTTGCACAGATTTTAGTGAAGGAAATATATCATGTGGGGTCACAGCTAACGACTCACAGAGCATTGTGGGTAAATTTCTGAGCGTGCGAGCTCGCTCAATGTGGCAGTTATCAATTTGATATTTCTGGTTTCTTTCTCATTGCTGAAAATATTCTCACTGCACTTTTTTTCATCCAAAATTGATCAAGCTAACCAATTGATTTGAAATATATTGCCAAACGACACGTGATCAGTGATAAATTACCGTGTTTGTACCAAGGCCATCATATAAGCCAACACTATAGTCGGTGCCAAAGCATTGGCATTGGCTAATTAAGAACTTAATAAACGCTTCCCTAACAGGAAGTGATAACCTCGCGGTTAGAGGTCGTGCACGAAGGAACCAATCACAGTGCAAAGCCATCAGCCCTTCGCAGCGTCCTGTTCAAACAAGCAAATTCATAAAAATCCTCTACATATAATGCATTTGCGTGTGTAGACGTAAATTTGCAAACCGAAATAAATGCCAAATGCCAGTGGATATACGTAGGGTAAGATTTCTGAAGGGCTTCCGGGAATGCTCACAATTCTTTTCAAGGGGACACTAAAAAAAAAAAAGAAGTGTGACTTGAACATAGGTTGTGTACATTTCAGTCTTTTAAATGGAGGGGCCCATGGGGAAGGATGGCGGGGCATGTACTTATACTGGGGGGCACATGTCCTCCCCCCCGAACCATGGTCTTTTCAAACACGCACCCATGCTTTTGTATTTGCTCTGCGCAAGAGCCAGCACAGCATCCCTTGACATTCCCTTGTCCGGCAAGCATGTCGTGTAGGCATCTCCCGGTGTTAAGGGGAACAGGTCCTTAGTGAAGTTGGCTTTCGTCTTGTCCAGTTCTTCTTGTATCTGTTAGAAAAGCACCAGATATTAGAACTACAATCCTTGTCAACAAGGTTTGACAAGGATTGAAGGGGTTCCCCTCAATGTCACTGATTCTCATTGCGTGGTCTCTGCTCCAGATGAAGACAAGAACACTGACCAGGCGGAGTGGGGAAGCCGGGAAGGGTATGCTTATTGCGACACGTCCCAGCCAGTTTGGCCGGGATATACAGTGGGGGTATACCCACTTCCATAACTGTTCACGAAAGAAAGCAAGGGATGGTGATGGAAGCTACAATCTTGGACAAATCTCGTTGGAACATGCCTCCCCCTCGCCCCCTGTCAATGCTGTTTCTCATCGGGTAAGCTGGGTCGAATCTCGGTCCGATCAATGACCGCAACATTGAATGGGGGAGAGGGTGATCTTTTCACCGCGCTTCCCACAAGGTGTTCCAACTATTTTGTCCAGGATTGTGGGAGGTAGAAAATCACCACTTTGCTTGCCCACGCCCATTTCTCATGCAGTTCTTTCCTAACCCGCTGAGACCCGACTGCTAGTGAAGTGGGGATGTAAGCGAGTCATGCTGTTCTCTGCGAACTAAAAATGTTTAGTTTGGTGTCAAACTTTGAGTGAATAAAAAAGGATTGTTGTTTTGTTCGTTTTTCTGAAGGAAAAGCCATGTTTCATTTTCTGAAACAGTTTGGTCAGGAATTTAGAAGGCTTTGGGGTTGTAAACCCAGATACCTGTCACACCCCCAACGCCTGTGTCGCTGGGTACTTGTCTCAGCCCCAGTACATACTTAAGTTGAACCTCACTTTTACTTTTGGAAAGCAGCATACAAATAAAGACTGTTTAAAAAGTGCAACAGGAGGACTATATTTCATGAGGCAACAAATGGAAGGTTCCATTCCACTTACATGTAGCATCGCCTCATTAAATGGAACATCCCATCTGCCACTGAATGAACTTCCTTTACTGTTTTGTCAAATGCTTGAGAATTCCTAAATAGATTCCTAGTCCTACTTCACTGAAAAAAAAAATGGCTTCGACTACAAGTTTGGAATTCTATCTGTGGCAATGCAATGTCAATTGACATTATCCCTAGTATTATTCATTGGACCACAAGACGAAACACGCAACGACAGCAAACTACGATAAAAACACAAGGAAAACAAAAATGACAAAAACACACAAAAAAACACAAAACAAACGACACACATGTAAACATTTAAGACAGAGATGCATTAAATTTGAATATTTCAAAATTCACATTGGATAGGTTTTCAGTTAATATCCCAGTGATAGTCCTAGTGGATCTTTTAAAATTGGCATGTTAATAGATTTAAAATGGAATAAAGCATTTCTTGACTGTTAAAAATTTCACCATTAGCACAGACATATTTATCTGTTTAGTTACAGAACAAAGTTGGATAATGAAACCAAATATAGAACCAACGGTTATTTAAGGATTTACCTTTTGACCTATAACAGGAAGACTGCGAACCGTTCGAAAGATAAACAGCTTGGCCCTTGTAAACAAGCCTGAAACAAGTGAAAAGGGAAGTAAAAAAAGGCAACTTCAGAAATCACAGTTTGGAGAATCAAAGCCTTTACGGGCATTTACAATCATCCGTGCCAGGAACCTTTGCACAATTCAGCCCTTTTTTATTACTTTTGGCAAGTAGTCCTGTGAAAGCAATTATTCCAGCTCTAATGGCGATTTTGTTTATTGTATGATCACAAATGGACAGAGAATTATGTATGATCCACAAACTTCACGAAAGAAAGTTTTCAAATCCAGCGGTAGTCAGGCATGTTTCTTGCTGCGTTCTTACTCAATACATTTTGGGGATACGGTCTGCACAGCTGAATTCCTACAATCTGAAAATAAATTTATATATTTCCGGTCAACCTGTGGAATCAGGATGCAGAAAAAAAAATGCTGTATATGTTAAACAAGACCCCTAGAAATAACTCACCCAGCTCGTGCAAGAAAAGTTCCTGCCGTATCCAACCCGCAGCGAGTACGGTCAGCAGGGTGGCCAAGATGAGCTCCCAGGCCTCGTGCCCCTCGCAGAGCTGGTTGACGAGCACTCGCACATCATTCAAATACAGCTTGCCCACCTCCTTGTGGAGGAAAAAGGAAAAAACAACAGGAGAGAACATTCCATGGTGACGTTTTTTTTCCCGCTCCGACAAGAATGGATCTAGTTTGATCTGGGTCTTTGAACCACTTCATACTGTATAGGTACTATATGGGCGTGGCTGAAGTGGGCAAGGGGGGCACTTGCTTCCCCACCCAAAAGGGAAAAATTGAAAAGCCCAAAATAAACCCCCAAAAAAACAGATTTTCCGTGTGTGGTTTGGCGGCACACATACGGTATGAATTAGGGGTCTGTGTGGGTCGAATGTACGGGTCATACGTGTGACTGAAAGTAGGATCAACTCCAAGAAAGATTTGGGGGAAGATGACTAAGTTGGAAATGTGGTAACAGAGTAGTGGTTCAAGGTCTTGTCGCAGCATGGTGCAACCGGGTCACGCGTGGAATGCAATGCGCTGTGTACAATGCATGACTTGTTACCTGGTTGGTCATAGCGCGCTCGCTGTGCCAGGCCAGCTAAAATGCATGGAGTGTGGAACAGAAATAACGTGTATGCTATAATCTACAGTACATGCATTATGGACGAAAATGCCAAGAGTTCATACCTAAGGTAACCCTTGGTATATGGGGGAACAGTTTGTGGGATGATACAGGGAGTTCTGCCAGTAGTTATGTCATAACTAATGTGCCCGGATATTTCTAGCTATCTAGTCTTACGCCTGTATTATTCGACAAACTTTTGTTGAATTTAATTGTAACCTATAAAAAAAGTATAAGTTAAATTGCAGGCCACCCCCCCCCGCGACGGGACAACAGGCTGGATGACAGAAACAACCACCGACTTACCCCAGAACTGTGGTGGGATTCAGCGTCAGCCACTCTCCCGGATCCCACGAAAACTTCTGGGGGTACCACCCACTTTCATGACTTAATTTGGCGACTGCAGCAGCTTACAGAAGTCATTAGGCCTGCGGTATTGAGGTGTGTGCTAATCGTGTTGACGGGTCACCATGCATAAACATCATTCACGCTTCATGTCCCCCAAATAAACAACTTGACAAGAAGTTGTCAGCTGCAGCAGCAGCTGGTCAATCATCAAAATCATCATTGACGACCAGTTCAGGGCTTACCTGAATATTTTTAATGATGTCCATGCTGGTAAATACCGCAGATATGCCTCAAAATCGGACGTGCCCGAACGGACAAAGTTCAGCCACACCCAGTCAGTACAGTCCGCAGCGGCAGCGATAATAAAAAATTTTGAGGTCACCGCACGCGATATACAGCTATAAGCCTTATCGCAAATACTGCATGGGTGATTTTGCACAATGGAAGAAAGGCATTGTGGGAAGGCAAAAGGAGCAAACATTACCTCTTTTTCAGTCAAGTTTCTTCCCACAACACCTTTCTACCATTGTGCAAAATCACCCATGCCGTGTTATTAATTATTTGCAGGGACCGTTAGCTAGCTCTACACACGTACACATTTTTTTTCGCTGCGAGACTTGTGCGAGGATTTTGAGAGTTCGCTGTTTTGTTTTAAAATGCTGTTCAGCCGATGGCAAAGGGGGGCAGAATCAAGTCGCCGTTACTCTCGGAGACTAAGCTGAGAAATCAATGAACCCTGACCATGGCAACCGTAAGCCTTCCGCAAATTAACTGATTTTGGAAGAGTGAGACCTGGTCTTTCAAACTTATGGGGAGGCTGGTACTGGTACCACAGAAAAAGTGATATTTTAAGTTTCTTAACGCAAATTTCGTCGTTTTGAATAGAATATTCCTCGTCTTTTTACGCTAACTAAAATCTCTAAATTGTCTCCAGATGGCCCCTTGTTATCTGTCCATAACAAAAACAATATTATTTTGGCATAAAACTCGACGAAAATAGGTGAAATCAACGGAATTCGATCTGGACGCAGTCGAAGTCATAAATGTACCCCCTATCGCAGTTTGAATTTTGCACAGTGGTAGAAAGGCATTGTGGGTAGGAAAAAGGTCATGTTTGCTCCTTTTTGATCCTTCTACTATTTTGCAAACTACCTATGCAGTATTTGCGATTATTAGCGCCTACTGCGTGGAAAACCATGATGAATACGTGAATGAACGACTTTTGCGTGCACTGTGGACTGACTGCCCTCATTAACAATTCTTCATTTTGCGAGATAACGTTGAGGCCAAAGTCCAGTTTAATTGACATGACCTCAGCTAGGAACGATTACGGACCGACTGACGTGGATGTCAAGCCCCATGTGGATATCAATGTATTGGACTGCATGGGGCACTGCATCCGAATCGGAACACACGCCGCAGCTGTAGTTCCGGAAGCCCGTTTCGGACTCGGCAATCCACAGCCTGGCCGACCATGCGTGACATCGTGCTGGCCAGTAGTCACATGACATTCGCTATTGTTAGTTGTCATACCCTTGACGAATGACGGCCAAAAACAATTGTACCCATAGCAACCAAAGGAAGGCTGGGCGAGACTTGTTTTATTCTCTCCGTTCCCAAGCCCACCAGCAACGGGGGATGCGCTCTGACGAAAATGTCCTCAGACCCGCCGCTCAGAAAACTCCTGGAAATGGATTTAAATTTTTTATTTCTATTCCGTCCACTGCTCCAAAATGTGCCGACTTTCTTTATTTTAATCTGTCCTCCACTGAAGTTTTCGATCGGTTTTGTAGGATAATATAAAATATAATATATTTTATGCAGCGAATGAAATATTTAATGCGGCGAATTGAGCCATTGGCACTGATGGTTTCTAACCAAGCAAATAAAATAAAAATAAAAACAAAAACAAAACGAAAAACATTGTCAGGCGCGGTTGACCCCCGTCCGTATGCGCAAACCTTTATTCAAAACATAGTGGGAAAAGGACAACAGTTCTTGTATCATTTAGAATAACATCTACATGTATAAACTTGAGGAATAGGTTTCCGGGTACACCATGGAATCAATCTCTTTTGGACCGGGCGAGGTGTGGTTCTTCAGAGAACTGGTGAGAGATTGATTCCATGGTGTACCCGGCAAACTTATTTCTCCAGTCTCTTCCACCATGCAAAGCTTCGATCAAATCTTACTTATCTATAAACTACTTTAAACTTCGTTTTCTTCCTCATCTTCGAAATGTGATCATTAGTATTTAGAGAAACTAAAACTAAATATTCACTTAATTTTTTCCGCCCTCCTCCACAAGTGTTTCTTATTCTGACAAAAAGCTCTCGGACCAAGGAATAAATAAAGTCTGGCCTTAATGTGACCGTGGCAACCACAGTTATCAGGCGTAAGTAGTGTGGGGGACTGTGTGGTACACTTTGACCTTCGATATAAAAATAGCAAAAGGTCGCATGAATATGCAAAACATAGTAATATGAACATATTGATATGAATAAGGATGAGGTGTATGGGTGAAAAAATATGGCACAAGATGACCAAGGAATGAATAGGAATGGTATAGGGTCAGAAAGTCTAGTGTGACTTTCTGTATGGGATAAACGTGAATATGAAAAAATCACAGGGTCAGAAAATGTGGTACACATTGACCTTTTCTTTGAAATTATTACACAACAAGATGAAATCTGACGATAAAAATAGACGATGAGTCATGTTGAGTGAGTTATACCAGGCAAGATATAGGACGGAGGGGTACCCCCCCCACCTGTCCAATCCCTATATACACTCTAGACTATTGTTTATACCTAACACATCCCCCTAGAAGTCTGTAAAGAATTCCTGAGATTGCGATCAAACAATAAGTAACCAACACAAAGGCGTGGGGGTTCTCTCCGTCCCATATCTTGCTTTAAATGGAGCATGAAGGAAGCTGAGGTTCCTTCCTCCATGACTGGAGTGAGTCATGGACAAATACTGACTGACCCACCAGCAGGTCCTGAAGTAATCAAGGCCAGAGCAGTAAGCGATAAGCCCTAGACACACTGTGGACTATTATATCCCGCAAGAAATGAGACCGAGAGGTACCCCCAACGTGTCCAATTGCTTTTCGAGCTCTAGACTATTGTTACATGACACCCCCCCCCCCGATGTCTGAAAATAATTCCTCAATGACCAATGCAAAGGGGGGGGGGGGTTCTCTCCGTCTCATATCTTGCTTCATATGATGGGCTATACGTAGTGGGTGGGCTGAAAGTGAGCAACAGCAGTCGGGGTAGATTAAACTGATTTGTATGACGAGAAGGGCTCATTTCTTCGGAGGGCTATCTGAAGATGATGCAGGCGCTGCTTTCTCTAATAAAATAAGAAAATGAAATGATAACAATGAATCAAACAATGATACGCTATAATCATGTCCGGGCCCCATAACTTTTTAAAACGGAGGGCATCTAACCGGACCCACGGACGTGTATAATGAAATCTGAACTCGCAATGCCTTTAATCAGCTTACAGAGATCTTGAATCCACTAGCGGCCATTTTACCGAGCCGAATACAAAGCTTTCCCAGCAATGTCTGCCTTTGTTCTTCCTGACGTCAATACAAGCATGCCAACTTACGCATTTGTATTAGGCTCGGTAAAATGGCCGCTGGTTGGCTTCTTTTTCATATAAAGGCGTTGCAAGTCCAGCTGTTTATATACGTCCGTGACCGGACCTCCCTAAGTATAATACAAAGAAAAACAAAACAATATGTGGACAATGACTGTACGTGGCACCGAGGAAGTGGGGGATAATCTTTCGGACAAAGGGCTGTACGCGGCGCTGTGTGGTGGCTAGTGTGTCTTGGAGCGAGCGTTGGTCCGACTTAACAATTCTTGGACAACTAAATAACTGAGGGAGAGTGCGCACATGCTAACGGTCTTGCGTTCGGCTAACTAGGTTGCGCTACACCAACTACGCGTCCATAGAAAACAGTGCAACATCGGACCGAAATAGCGCCGCCTGTTGACTCTCGTGAAGAGGTTGGCCTCCGTGTTTTCACTGGAAATTCAAGATTATGGCCAGAAGATCACTTTTCCTTTCAATTTCATGAGGGTTAGCCACGAAAGATTTTTTTATTCACCTTTGAATGAAGATACCCCCCAAAAAAGCAGTAAAACTAAGCGCTCATTTCTGAATGTAGCCCCCTGCTTCTGTCCAAAATAGCTCCGCACTTCGTAGCTTTTTGTGAAAGAAATACCCCGAACTGGAAACTATCAGTCCTAAATTCGGGATTTATAGAAATATTTCTATGATGCCTCCTGATTATGGCCTGTGTTATTGTAAAAATCCCGTGGAATCACAAAATAATAATGAGCTTGCGCGCAGAAATACAACCATTTGGTGGAATGCACCCTTTAATATCACCTCGAGGACCGGTTTCGCAGTAAGAATGGCTCAAAACGAAGAAAATCTATCCCAAATAGAAAAACCAATTCCAAAAATTGAATACGCTTTCTTGAGTTTCTGGAGAAGGATGATACAGTTGTCCGTTGCCACTGAATGCGGTAGCCTGAGTGTTTTGTGCGCAATGATAATCTCATTCTGTAAGCAAACGGAGAAATCAAACATCTTCTGCAAAACTGCGGGACACAGAAAAGAAAAACTTGCAGAAAGAGGACGAGCAGACGGAATTATTGATTGGACCTTTCTAATATTCGTTTCTCCGGCCTCCAAGGGAGCTTTTTTGGAAAAAAATGGAGGGAATTTCATTCCCTTTTCCAGGCCTATAGGACAGAATACTCAATTACGAGCGCAGAGCATTACTGTTGATCTTTATTGTGGAGTAAATTTTATTTATGAAATTAAAATTCTCTATAAAAATTATAAATTCTCTTGGGCTGCATGACGTTGGTTCGGATTTTTAACAGAGAGTAATGGGGTATTTTTTATATTTTTATGTGCAGGCGTTCCCAGCCGGTATCACCCCCGAGAATTATTACTCAGTAGTCACATAACACATGACAAATTCAGTAGGCTTCACATACTGGTTTTAAGTAGTGTTTTTATTTCTCTTTTACATCTCTCGATGTTTATCGTTCTCCCTGATTCTGACTTGATGGTACGTCTTCGCTATGTCACCTGACACAGCACCGGAAATTGTCTGAACCGGCCCAATACTCCAAAAGAGATCGTTAAGGAGATCAGGTCCCTTCTCCCAGTAGTCATTTAGTCGATGGCCATTGAAGCTGGCAGACAACGAATTGAAGACAATACGAACCGGCGTACTCTTTTCGGCACGATTAATGACTGAGTGGTGGGAAATGCAGTGAACCGAACCATCAAAATTATTTATCTCGTCGTCCCTCAACTTTCTTGATAATCCTTTTTGTTCCGTTTCCTTCATTTGCCCATCATAGAGTTGAGCGTATTTTCCTTCTTTCCGGAGCCTCTTTTCTACTGAGAATAATTTGGCTACAGCTTTTTTTTGTTATCTGGTAGTTCTTTCGGATCCATGGGTAGGGCCAGGGAACCATTGCCTACTTTCTTGCATGAGTTCCACATTTTTTTTCGAACTGACGTTGTTCCCTGTGTACCAGGTGTAGGTTCCTTGAAGGTTTGCAGCTGCAATTTTGTATCCTGACCCCCATACTTTCCGTTGACCAAAAGTCGCCGAGATACGTCTTGCCAGTCACCTCAATGTGCAGCATAGTGGATGTTCTTCCAATTGGCTGGGTTAGGTGATCAAAGAATCACACGCGTCTCGTGTCGGAGTATTTCAACTGGACATCATCACGCCTGTGTTGCCTCACCCTCTGAGTAGGGTCGGCCATGGACTTGTTTTAATGCAGCAAGTAACCCATCACTTCTTTTGAATATGATTTTGGAAGGAAGTAAAGTACGAAGGCTGTCCTCCAAACTTGTATAATTAAAAGGAAAGTAAATGCCCTACACATCAGTAAGTTTATAGTGTCGCATTTTTGGGAACGCGCTTTTATTGCGCCAAGCTGCAGCCTCATTAAAAAAAAAACAGAAAAATCTTTTAATTTGTATTTTTAGCTTTATGTTAATGTATTCAAGTGCCATAGCAAGGTTTCGCTCCTTTAATTAATGCTATAATGTGACCTACTATGTGAGAGCGTCCCCAGCCAGACGGACTGCTTACGAGCTATTTTGGTGAGCTCTGTTCATGCTAGCGCTAGGCTTCGTATCTCCTACACTGCCACAAAAAAAAAGACTGAGTTTGCCAGAAGAGGGCGTTGTGCCATTGCAACAAATGCAAAGGAAAGGCAAGGCAACCACTGCCCAGTGACATGTACATACATGTACATAGGCTACACGCAAAGAAAGTGGGTCAGTGATTTACATGTGATATAACTTTGTTGTTTGAAAGTCACGTTTCTTACGCGTCAGAAGGAAACGGTCAGAAAATGGTAAGTAAAGCAGAGAAGAGAAATTAACATTTTTCCCATCAAAACTTTAAAACGTGGTGTATGATTGAACGCCGCTTATTACTTTTATATTAGTTTGACGTAATTTTCGTGGACATGAAAAGTTGCATCATCCGCCATGTAACTTAGGGCCTAGGCCTTAGCCTGTATAGCTTAGCATTTGGGTATGTTCAGCGTAATCAGGTGATCTACATTGTCGATCGATTGCACTGCACGATTGTCAATCCTGTGGGTAATAAAGTTTACTTAGGTTAACTCCTTTCCTTTTATCAAATAGCAATTAATTGTTACTGTGTCATGCTATTTTATTTAGCGTCGACAGGAGTTAACAAAGCGTCAACAAGTTATTCAAGCCAATTTATGCAAAGATTTTTTATATAAAATGTTAATTAGGATCATACATATCAAATTCAATGTATCATATCAATGTGAAATGATATTTGAGTGTTGAATTTTGAGTGACAAACTCTGGTCTGTTTGTGTAGTCTGACCAACCGCCATCTTATTTTCGCGTGGACGGCAGTGGAAAGAAAGATGGCGGCCCCCATACATTGCGAAAAAATTTCGTTTTCCTGTGAGAATCTGGAAGCAAATTTGGTGTTTCTCTTATACAGTGGCAAGTGTTAGAGTCTCTAAAATGTGATAAAACCACTTTTAAATCTGTAGAGGGTATTTTCAAGTTATTGACGCTACCTGTGTGTTGACGCTAAATAGCATGACGGCAGTGTTAAGCGCAATGCTTGAATCTTGTGCAAACTTACTGTACTCCCATCTGAGTTGATTATCCTATGATAGACCTATGAGTGGATGTTGTTCAACATGTTCAAAGGTAAATCAACTCAGGATGGAGTACAGTAAATTTGCCCACGGTTCAAGATTGCGTTTAACAATAACAGTCTTCCACAACCAGCTGACCAGCTGTGTGAAAGGGATAGGCCCAAGGTTACATAATAATCACTTACCATTTGTGCTAATGTAGAGCACGATCTATCGATCTCAAAGAGTACCGAAGTGAATACGTCACGCGCACAATTAGTGTGTAAAAGGCATTAGCGGGAGAACCAGCGCGTGAACCAACACGCGCGCGCACTCCATTCGTTTGCACTGCACTTTCTGGTTCACAGTGACGTCACACTTTGGTACCCTATTGCAATTGCCTTTTCTGTCCAGTTGATTGTTTACTGTTGTGGAAGATTATTTTGAGAAAGAGATAAGAGAATGTCTATCCTGTCTGAGGTATAGGATCAACTGACGTGACTGACATAAGTGACACATGTACTGATGTAGTGTGACGTCATCGTGAGATTGTGCTGATTGATTGATCACACCCAACACTGACATGGCTGATGCCCAGTGCAGATATCAAAAGATGGCCTAAAAGTAAAACTTAATGAAAGTAACAATGATTAGAAGGCTAACATTAGTTCGTAAAGATCAACCTGTTGGTGTCAATCAATCATGCCCAACCTTATTTACGCTGAATCAGTGTCTGACTGTAGGGGCCCACTTGTACTAGTCGGATGACATCCCTGTTAATGTTGTTAGCAGCACTGTTGTGTGAATAGATAGATTTCACATTAGCACCGTCTTGCGCATATCTGCATCGAAACCGAGGCTCTCTGTGTTGCACTTTGTCGCGCACGCCCGCGGAGTTGACACAGTACATGCAGTAAGTGTGGTGCCACTTGAGTTTAAACCACGCCCACTGCACAAGATATATGTAAATGACCATCGCAGGTATGTTAGTTTGCAGTAAATTGCCATTATTTTTTCTTTTGATTTCACTCTCCAGTCATCCTGAAAGACTCTTCCACAAAAATTTGCAGCCTGAAAAGTCTGAATTTAACATACCTTTATGTATTTTGTGTCTTAACTCCTTACTTTCAATCGTCTGATCGAATTAACAATTGAAGCTGACACATACAGCCTCGTTTTCAAACGCGGAAGTGCGCAGATTGACACTAAAAGCGTCGTATTGGGGTCCCTCTATAGGCTCAGTTCTGTTTTTACACCCCAATAACTTCAGTGCTCTGGAAATGATTTCATTTTCATTGGCTGTCTTCACTTTCCTCCCTGTACTGTTTATACTGCAGTCTACCACGTTGATTCTGGTTGGCCTTGGACTGGCTGGGGCTGCATACGTGGGTAAGAAAGCCAAGTAGTCCTGAAGATTTTGTGTAGTCCAAGCTGAATGTAGCTTGGAGATATTGAAATAACCCAAGTATTTTGAGTATTTTCTTGCCGTAAATGCTTGTGACATAGAGAAAGTTGCATTTAGGTCCGGAGCTGAGCACGTGCCCATTGCTGTTCAAGTCACTCGTATCTCGGATCTCATATTTGGGGCCGAGTCTCTGTTTCCCTAGATTTAATCACCCCTACAAAACTTGCCTGGTACTGCTTGGTTGATATTTGAGAAGCAAACGAATCAACCAAAAGTTGAACAGACTTAAATACATCAACATGAGATGAAAAGCAGGCAGTTTTAAGCCCAACTTCCAGACTGTCCAAAGTGAAAAAAACGCCTGATTTTTCATTTCACAAGAAGGCCCAGTCTCTTGATGTCATGAAGGATGTTGTGACTCAAGCGTGTGTTATTTGGAGATTGCCACAATGAAAACGGTTACAATGGCGATGCAACATTTGGAAATTGAAACTCATTTGAAGAAGCATTGCTTTGGACGTTTACCAATAAAAAGGAGTGATTAGAGTGCCACCAAAACTTACCATGCTGGTACCGTTTTTGGGAGAATTACGTTTGTGATAAGGGTCCTTCCATGAGGTTGGGGCAAATATGGTGACGGTGTCCATTGTTACGTGGATTCCAAATGAACAGCTATTTCCCTGCATGTGGATTCCAAATTATACATCTTGCAAGGCTGAATGCAGAGGTGTGTGCTACAAATGTACTTTTACAGAGTAAATGACCTACTCTACAGGTCATGACAGGTGGTAAAAGTTACCCATGTACAGTAACAAGGACACCGTCACAAATTGTGCCCCAACCTCATGGAACGATCCACCGTGATGGTGCCCCTAAAGGGGGAATACCTTTTTGGACCTCTTCAAGGCAAGTGTTGCAGTTTTGATACATGTACATAACCTAAATGCCAACTTCAAACTGCCAGGGTCCTGTTTGGTCACAAATTCTGTTCGTCAAGTTCCTTTTTTTGGTCACTTCTGGCTGTGGTGGGCTACGCAGACGGCCAACACAGTCATTTTTGACGTATCAACTCCAGTGACGAGAGTAAAGCTCAAGTTTTGCGGGATATCTTCCCTTCCTGATTTGTGTGTCCTCAGTAATTATTTTTTAAACTGCATAATTTTGGTATTTATTTTCAAAAGAAGTTTGTCATCTGACATTGCCTGCTTTATTCTCTTTGTCTTATGTGTCTTATCTTCAGGTCGCCTTGCGGTGCAAACGGGGCGCATTGTCCAAAAGAATGCTCATAAGATTCCTAAACCAGTAAGTACTTATGATAGAGCCAGATATAAAAACTAAAGCTCTCAATATCTGGCTCATGTACACAGGATTTGTGAGACCTGTTTTCTATTAACCTACCATTGTTTTTTTCTCATCAAATTCTCATGTTCTTGGGCTCTGTTTTCTCCTAACCAATTCAGTATTGGGCATTGAACTCAGTACTCGAATGGTACTCAAGTGGAGTTTGCTGATGTCTCAAAGATTGTGCTTGCTACATGCTAAGAGGCAGGCAAAAGGTGAACCAGTTGTCTTCGCTCTTGTTCAAAACTCAGCTTTTTTTCTGGCAGAATTTTGCCGTGCAGCTCAGCAAAATCGCACTCCTTCAATTGCACTGACACTTGAAGATTAAAAAAAAAATCACTCTTCAATATTTTTTGTCTATTTAGACATTCAGTAGCTACTACAAAGGTGGCTTTGATCCCAAGATGAACAAGAGGGAAGCTAGCCTCATCCTTGGAGTCAGGTAGGGAAAATGTGAAAAGATGTAACCGGGTAGAGCTCTAACCCTGCTCCTACGTTTACCCAACACTGGTCCTTTTTTCATGCCATTTCTGACCAGTTGTGTAGAAACTTTCATGATTTCATCTTGTGCTACAGTTAGCTTCAACAACGTCCACAGCAAGAATACTTTCAGACTAGCGCCCTCTTGTGACCTTATAAATTTTTTGGGTTGTCATGGCACCCCCACAAATTTTTTGTATTTTGCATACCACAGTTTTGTTCAAGTTGCATAGCAGACACTCTTGGGCATTGTGAAAGGTTCCCTGCAGGGTAAAATTGCCACTTCAGTTGATTTTGATCCAGTGATGCCCGCTGTGCCCATTTGTCCCATTCTACTCCTGCCTCTGTTGATATTTTGAGCTACCACTTTAACCACTTCCTGTCGGGGATTCCGGATCCAGACACGTATGCTTTATATGCGTGGCCGGGGTCTCTGAACTCGGACAAAGGGAACAGGGCCTTGTAACAAAAGACCGTATTCGGAACAAAAGACCAGGATGCTGGGAATTACCCACATTTTTTCACTCTCAAAAGTGGAGATAATCCAGCGTTATTTTGAAACCGTATACCAGGGTTTGGGGCATTTAGAGCAAGCGGATTACCACCGGGGACAGAAGCGCTCCACCACCGCAGTGATGAGCCACACAGGACGGCTGCATGCTAATCTGGCCCCTGTTGAAAAGAGGTCAGCAGTAGACTGAGCCAGGCTCCTGAACAAAAGAAAGTTATGTAACACCACACAATCTGGACTCTTTTTACAAGGCTGCAGGCCTGGCTGAAATACTCAGGCGTCGATAGATTTTGTCTGTCAGGCTAGAGTGGACACCAGACAGTCCTTCACGTGTTTGTAAGTGTCCAGTAAATGAAGATGGGAATTTTTAAAAGAATTTTGAAAACAGAAAAAAATGATAAATATCACGGCCCAGCATCATCAACATTGATAACTGCCCCGGCAGGAAATGGTTAAAGTTTGGTGTGGCTTTCTGCAGCAGCAATTTAGCCGGCTTTGCAATTGATAACTTCTTCCTTGTTTATATTTTCCTACTGCATTTCGACGATCACATCTGGTCGTTGGGTAGGTCGAGGCATGAACAGGCAGTCCAAGTGGTAAACTAAGCCAGTTCAACATCCCTATTGACTGTCATTCTTTTTACATGTACACCCTTCATCTTTGTATTGATATGGTTTTACGAGGCAACGAGACAGCTTGCTTCACCCGTCTATAGATATGCCTCTGTACTCAAACTGAGGAGGGCGCTGTTTAATCCAGCATAGACTGGTTGCCCACCCTAAGAGCTCTGACATCTAGCAGATGCTGTTTAAAAGAAAGTGCAATGTGTCGTAATAAAGCACAGGGAGATGTAGCAATCTGAAGGTTCAACACTCGGTTTTCTCTCCACAGCCCGTCCGTGTCGAAAGCCAAAGTGAGAGAGGCCCACCGACGGATAATGCTGCTCAATCACCCGGACCGAGGTCTGTAAGATCCGATCTGTTTACGCTACCAGTTTTCAACTGAATGTGCACAAAAGGATCACTCCATTATGCAAGCTCAGCTCATACAGAGAATTTTGTGCACATTTTGCTGGAGTCCACATGGAGAGCAACATATACTGTTACTGAATTTGGCTGAACGTGTTTTGACTTGATAAGAACTAGAATGTGTGAAGTTCAGTAAACAGTTTGTGACATGAACTTGGAAGTCACAGTGAGCTGTTCCAACACTTAAGTAGACAAAAGTAGCCAGTAATCAAAACATCAGCATTACATATTACTATATTGTACACTTCAGCTGTTTTGTTTGTGATTTGAAGACAGGGAAATGACTTCCATTTTTTCCATCTTTGTTTTGTTACAGGGGGCTCCCCATACTTGGCAACAAAGATCAATGAAGCCAAAGATTATCTGGAAGGCCAGGCTAAGAAGTAACCCTATGGAGCTCAGCATGAAACATTTTGAACGTCAGAACTGAAACAGTGAACGCGAGTCCCAACCGTGTGGAGTGTGGTTAGAGTTTTACATCACAGTGCAGAAAGACTTTGGAGACACCAGTCACCATCTGCGGCGGAGAGCATTTGTTTTTTAAATTGAACTCGAGGACTGACGAAATTGTGGATTTCTCTAGAACGACGATCACTCAGTGAGAGCATGGTTAGCAAAGGTGCGTTGAGTTGGCGACTTGCGCATTTCCACACAAAGTGCTTGGAGAAACATGAAGTGATCCGCGGGGATCGCCCGTTAATTGTAAGCATTGGAGTATCTGACAGTTCCGCTGCAGAATCGCTGCACTTTGGGTGCGAGATGGATAAGTGTGGTGCTGTGCAACAACGTATTATATTGCAACAGTGCACTTCAGGACTCAATTTGTTAAAAATCTTGCACGTTTTTGGAAAAAAAATGTGACTGACTTGCTACTTTCTGCATTTGGCATCGCACAAATCCATAGAGTTTGGCGCAGTCAGTTTGTTTGCCCGCTGTTTATTATTCATCTACAAAATTTATCTTGCCCCCGAGAAACGAGACAGTCCAACAACACTACGGATCTTCATTCTCTTACCAAACAAGGGTCCTAAAATACAATTGTCGTCGGGTGAATACATGGGGATTTTTACATTGACTGATGAGACAAAGACTTGTGTTGGTGTTATGTGGTGTCGGATACGGTTTCAGGGTTATGTTGGGGGGGGGTTGAAAAATTTGATTATCTAGTTAATCCAGCTTATACATGAATAAATTAAATTTTGAAGAAACCTCACAAATAAAATACGGGTAATAACCAACGACAATTAGGACTGACGAGAGGCCCTTGTATTGTACAGAACACACGTTGACAGTTGATTGCAAAGCTTAACAGATCTACCAAAATCACCCAAGGATACGGCATGCTACTTCATAAGAAAAAAAAAAAACATACATGTATTTACACTAACCAAGCATAAAAGTATTGCTGTTGAATAAAATTACTTGTACAAGGGCAAACCCCTAGAAAATTACAAATACTTCTACAATCGATGTCCGAGTAGTGCACAGGTGTGCATAAAAAGCTAAAATTTTCCCCCCCATAAAGACATGTCCTGGCTGGAAAACCTTGCAATGAAGCCAATCTTCCGGTGTGAACTTTGAAGGTTAATCCAGACTGAAAAAATGTGCAAGTATAAATAGTTGTATCCATGGCCCTTTTTTAAACACACACACGACCACAAATTTTTTTTTTTTTAACGAGGAAAAAGTTACCAGGAAAAGTTTTGGTATATTTTTTTTTTTAAAGAAGTCTTCGTCTCGGAGAGGCTCGTAACGACGAAAAAAGCAAACTTGCATGTTCACGGGTAAGGGTGTGCCTCTCTGAAGGGTAGTCATCAGCAGACATTTACAAAAGCGCCCTCGGCTGCACTATGCACGGATCAAATAATGTAGTAACTTGGAATGGAAATACTGAAAATACAGACATCTGCTTGGTCTCGGGGATCCTGGCTGGAATTAGGACATCTGGCTGTTACCTCTATTGATGAAATCTGTTCCACAAAGGGAAAGTACATGTATTCTGCCATCTACGGATTGACCGGGCAGATCTTTTTTAAAGAGATGCATATTTCAAACCTTTCAGCTAAAATCCCCTTAACCACACATACTTTTCACATTCATAATTTAACCACCACCATCGTGATGTCTGTCTACCGAGGCAACAGCCATTTTTCTCCATATAGATTTTATGTCTTATGGAGATTGCCACTATGACAACCTTACAACGGACATTGGCTTTCCTGCCTCTTCCACAAAGGAGCTTTAACCCTAACAGTCCTCAGTCCTCCAACAGGTGAAGGATTGAGGACTGTTGGGGTTAAGCAGGATTTTGAAACAAATGTGGATGAATCGAGTCCATCATTGGGAACTAGGATACAGGGCTATAAAACAAGGAATTCCATACCACAGAAAGATTAAGTGTACAAGTATACGTAGTGTGGACCTGCGCACAAAAGAAGTCCCCCTAACGTAGGGGTAGAAGTGAGGACTCGCGTCCACACAGTGTTTTCTCCCCTCTGAAAAAATACAATCGGAGGCATTTTTGGGGTCAGGGTAAGGAACAGTCAAGGAAGCTATGAACAAAATTCCAGCTCCAACGAGTTATCAGAACGGGAGAAAAAGGAGCATTTTCCCCGAGTCTTTTTGACCACAGGTGAATAAAGGATCAGTCCACACTCTGCATGTGACACCCAAGCAGGTGTATACCTTTAGGTACATTCTATTCCTACAAGAACGCCTTGGCCCTGCTTCTACCATTCAAGTCTGAGGAAGTTAATACACATTCAAAATCTAAATGCAACTGGTAAACCATGGAATTGGGAGTCCTGAGTTGCTACGTATGAAGGATAGTCGATAGGTTGAACGTCACATTTTTCAAAGGGTGGGGTTTTTTTTGCTGACGTAGGGGGGGTTTCCCTGTGGATAGAACTTTACTTGTACTGAGGGAGCCTGCACTTTGAGGGTAGGGATGAGGATAGAGCTCTAACATGGGGGCGGGTGCAGAGGGGGGGAGTGCAGTTTGAACTGCGAGGGGAGGGTCAGAACTGTAGGGGTGAGGCCAGAATTAAGGGTGTGGTCAGAACTGGGGGGGGTTGTGCTAGAACTACGGGGGTGTGGTTAAAACTGTAGGGTGGGGCTACAACCATAAGGGTGGGGTTTAACCTGGGCTTGTGGAAAACTATACCCCTCATCCCATAATTATATCTCATCCCATTTACTGGCAATCTTAATTCATAATACATCGCGGCTTGAGGTGACACACCTGGCGCAATAGTGCACAAAAATTAATAAACACGTTTAACAAACCGTGTGTGGAAAATATTTCAACAGTGGCTGCACCAAAACCGCGGCCCTTTTTAGAACTGACCATGGCCTCTCCCCTAAAGAAAGGAGACTTGCCTGTACTTTTTCAAACATTTTTTTAACATTCCGTACGGGAGAGCAAACTTTCGACTTGTCAAAATCTCAACAAATACGGCAAGCAGGTTCCCAAGTGAAGCGGTTTTTGCAATTTCTCACCTGAAATGGTGGAATGCAGACTACAGGCTGAACTGCCATGGCCACTTAGAAATATTTTCCACCATCTGAGAGTGGTAGAAGTCGACTGAGGCTGTCACATGCATACGACTGACTTCCAAGGCGAACACGTCTTCACGTTTTACCACTGCTTCAATTAACTCTGTGTGTGTGAAGTCTGTTTCAGATTTTATTTTTTGTCAAACAAAACTATCATTTTGGTCTACCTCAATTGACAAAACACTAATCAATGAGCAACTTCAGGAGAAAATTTTCAGATCAAAAATGACGTCATGAAAGGCTTTGAGATTTGAAAATCACACAGGAAAATTGAGTCCAAGTCTTACAATCTGTACTTTAGACATGTTCTGAAACAACCCAGCAGCCTAACAGAACAGTTCTTAAAATCTCCCATTCTGTACATGGTACCCCCCCCCCAAAAAAAATGGGAAACACTCCATGGCTTGCTCACTCAACAAGATTAAGACAATTCCCTTTCAGACATTTTGAAAGAACTTGAATATGCCGGTGAAACGTTCACTTCAGGGGGAGACTACTTCAACGATTGATACCAACATTAAAAAAATAAAAAAAGGGCAGCAGTCGACTTCCTTGGAGCATAGCAAATCGCCTCCACGTGGTGCACTGCAACTCTCATCAACTTGCAGCCAAAAAAGTTCACCCAGCCAGAGCTGACACGGTGACTCAGAGGGGGGTGGGGGAAATTAATTTTCCCCCGGATCGCCACCATTCACCACCAAACCAAGGGGACGAGGTGTAAAAGACTGATAGAGGGGGTGGGGGGCGGAGACTGGCTGGAGGAAAGAGGAGGGGCAGACTATGGCTTTTTCAGGCCGAAAGAGAGCTTGGGGCGAGCGCTCTTTTTGTTCAGGATCAGGTCCTGATCGGCCTTCTGCAGCCGCTGCTGCTCCTGAACGAATGCCAGTCGCTCCTCGTCCATCTTACGCTGGCGCTCAACCATCTCCAGCCTCTCCTCAGCCTAATGGGAGAGAAAGAAACGGTCCCGCATGAACATCTAAATGATGCAGAGGTTGTCAGGAAAATCTTTGCTTTAAATACCAATTTCTCACTACGTGCCTGGCAAGGTTATGAAGTCACTGGTGCCCGGTAGGCAGTAACTCCTCTCGCACTTGAAAAGCAGGGGCACCAGTGACTGGGACGACCTGCCAATAGGTTTATTGATTTCACACCATTCTGCAATCAATGAGCTGGGTACCCCACCAGACATTGTCCATGTGTACCCAGGGCAGGATACCAGTGGCAAGGCAAAACTCATCCAGAGTGACTACATGTACTCTTCTCCGGATTGCCTTGACAGTGGTTCCAAAACCAAACTTAAAAGTCGAAAACTCTTGTCGGAAAGTATTTTCTCCCGATGAAATCTTCACACAAAAACAATCCATTTGACAACCCAGTGAAATACAAAAGGCTTCTACACCATTTCAATGAAACAAACACATAAAATCTAAAAATGTAAACAAAATCAACAAAAGCTAAAAGAAATTCTTCAGATATTAGGAATTACATTGTATATCAAGCACCCATTACCAAAACCCAGACACACATGCATGTTTCAGTACCCACAATTGTGACCAGTAATCATTTCAAATAGGATTTTCACCATCAAGTCACCAACTTTCCAAAGAAAAAAAAATCAGTATTGATAAGAATATTGGTGGCTCCATCTGAAGATTTCATTTTGCACATTTTAAAATGTCCTGGCCTCTTAAACAACGCCGTTACAAAAATAGTGACGTGATCAATAGCAAAATCGGATATCTTCAAGGAACACTTAAACAGTTTGCAAAAAATCTGTCAACACAATTTAGACTTGCTAAGGTTTAATGTTTAGATTTTTTTTGCTGATTTTTTGTCTTTTTTTTTGGTCTCTAGCTTCACAGTTATTTTTCAGATGATTTGACAAATATATAGTTTTGTTTTGTCATTTCCATAACAAATGCCCACACCACGTTTCATGTCAAAGAAGTGTACAAAAAACAGGATTTGTTTTTCTAGTTGTGATTCAATGTATGACCTTTGCTCACTTTGCTGTGGCTTTGCAGAGGAAAAAAATACCTACCGCCTTCAATGCCCCCAACTCTGATCCTACCACTAAAGGAATAGTATCGCTCGCAACTGACAAACCAAATAAAGATGAACAGCAAACTTTGTCGGGAGGTTCTTGTGGGAGTACATCGAGAGATGGGGCCGGCCCAGGCCCGGAGGGGGGGACCGGGCCCCTTGCTGGCTCTTGCTCCCAGCTAAAACAGGGAGGCGCCGCACAACGCTCCTGGCCGGACTAAATCCACGACGGAAGCTACGATTGAAAAAAGCTCGGGGGGAAATATTCCGTTGTGGCTTGCCCCCTCTTTTTCCAAAGCTCACAACAAAGATGGGAGGATTAATAGGGTGAGGTGGGACACTTGGGGGTTGTTGAATTGGTACAAAGGGAGTAACCCCCCAAAAAATCTGATCTCTTGCTTTGTACATGTAGGTTATCGAGTCCAAGGCTGGATTGAGGTGGGGGGTTTATGTCCCCGTCAGTTGTGATGGTTAGAATTCTAGGCCCGACAGTTTTTCAGCTATCATATTCGGGGTAGGAGATTGTTTTGCTCCATCGATGGGAAGAAACAATTAAGGCTTGGAGAAAGTTCCAATACGAATATAGTTTCAAAATGGGGAGGGAATTGGGGTATAGAAAACCTGCAAGAGAAAGACATGGTGGTGAATTGGCATGATGTATTTTGGCAAAGCTGTAGGCGGAGATGATGTCGGAGGACTCTGTTCGCACCTGTGTTCTTTCACGGGGAACAACGGAGGCAACAAATGCATGTTCTTTTTGTTTTTTTGAAAAGAACTTTCAAGTGCATTTGAGATCAGAGTCCTACACAAAGATTCAGTCTGCAGACAAAAAGAGACAGCTATTGTTAGACACCCAAAATCATTCTTCGGAAAAAATTCAGCCCATTTCCCCGCCCCTCTTTCAATCCAAACAGCCACTCCTCCCCCCTTAAAAAAAAAGCCTACACTAAGTTCGGTGACCCTAACACTCTCTCCTCCTCTGCACCGACGCTCTGGTATTCCATGCACAAGAAACGATTAATGCAAGAAGCTTGCACCAGCCAATGAGAGATCACTTTACTAACGCAGACAGCCAATCAGAAGCCAGAGTCATGTCCGCCAATACCAACAGAGGGAAAAACCAGTAATATAAGTCATGGTTCAGACTGGTTCAAGGTAGGGTGCATGATACACTTGCTGGGGTGAAGTTGTAGGGAAGTTTTAAAAACTTGGACTGAGTTATAGGTAGCAAAGAATGGTTTTTGGTTTCCACGACAACTATCGTACAATTTGTGTTTGCTTTCCACAAATGCAGAAAACGTTTACTGTACGTGTAAAGCAGGTACCAGGTGTACATTCTGGTGCTGCAATCCTTGACATCTCAGCTCAATTTTCAGCGGGGTAATTCTGCTCAAATTATTCTGGATTTTCTCCTCAGTGTCTGTGCCAAGTCTGCACCATGCCTTTGCAGTGAATTCAACAAAGAACATCTACACCGACACAATTTCATCCAATCACAGCCAACGTTTGTTCAGAGGTTCTGCACGCCCTGACCCGCTCCTCCACCAACAAGTTGCAGACAAGCTGGAGGACATTTTCATTTGAAGGAGGAAATCCAGAATCCTCAACAGAAGCAAGGGGCAGATCTATTGAAAGATCAACTGGGTTATCAGTGAAGTTTAAAAAAAAACAACATAAGACGACAAGGACGACAAGAAAAGGCAGAAAATGGGTTCTGTGAACCGGTACCCCCCTCAGCAGTTGCAACACGAGGGATATGACAGACACCACTGCGGCTGGGCACCCACTTGTCTTTTGTGCACATTCTGACGTAATTGGTCATACAGAGCCGCTGAGCACAAAAATTTGCTTAGGACAGCATTTGTTGAACACATGTGGGTTACCAGCCAAAATATCAAGCACTGTGAAATTCTTGCGACTGGTACCCATTTCTTGATTTCTGACTTGTGATTTTGGATTGGAATTTTGATTTTTACTAGATACTGAAGTTTGCATTTTGTTCTTTGATGTTGAATTTTCAATTTTGATTTGATTTGATGTTGTACTTTAATTTGTGATTTGATGCTTGCTTTTGTTACTTTGTTAAGCAATATTTGTCAGCTTAGCAGCTCTTTGAAGCCAGGTCATAGTACCAGTGAATACACATGTAGTTTCAAAAACTGAGGACATGCCCTCATCAGGTGAGGACCAGACCTCATCAGGTGACAACAGGCAATGGCCACCCATCTGGCGAAATTTCATAGGTCAGTCTGCACTGCAACAAAATGATGTTTTCTTACTCGAAACGTCAGGCCGGCCTTGGTGGCAAGTAAGGTTGGGTGTGTCTTTGTGTGAACTGACTTGACACCCCCCTCCCCAGGGGATCGTAATAAACAAAAAGTGCTGTAAGAACTCTTTTCCATTTCACAGATGGAGGCGGCATTTAGCGATGATACATTGGGGGATGGGTACCGTTAGGGAGAAGATGCCACAACTGCACAAGAAAAAAACTGCACGATACAACCGAGCGACAGAATAAGCAATGGGACTTCTAACAAAAATGCTTGCTTTGCAAACACGGCAACACATGCTAGTGTGAAAATCCGACGTGTACATTAAATCAAGCCCAGCAGGTAAAACCCAAGTGCATGCTTTCCGGCTTCGGCTTGGCCGATTCCTGTCAAATCCCTTCCCCCCCCCACGTTCCTTCCAATTGGCTGGAGCAACCATCGCAGCAATAATAGCATTCTGGTGAATGGGATAACACACTTGATGGAGAGATTGACAGCGGGCAGAGCAATCGGTGCAGACAGCGAGAGGGAGAGCAGTGCCGGGCCACCGAGGCTAGCCGGGGGGCCACCTACCAGCTTTCTCTGGGCTTCCTCCATCTTGCGCCGGTTCTCCTCCATGATGCGCTCCAGCTCCTCTCGCTTCCTCCTCTCGTCCTCCTGAGGGTGGCAGAGGGAAAGAGAGAGAAAAAAAGCAAAGGTTACAGTCGTTGACAGAATCTGCGCGCGAATTCCAGTCAAGGCCCATTTCGACCCAATCTACGGGATGAAAGATTTAACCTTTGTACCCCCCTCCGAAAGTTTCGGAAAAACCTGGTGAAATAGCACACTCTCCATGATCGAAAGAAACTGATCATATGGCAAGACTCGGCTGAAGACAAATGTGAGCAACGTTTCACGACTGGCTTGCGTGCGCATGCATCATGCACTCATGTGTATTCTGCACCAGGATTTCCAGGGCATGAAGTTCCATAAGGCAAATGGGGACCTTCCTCAGTCCAGCTAAATCCTCCAATAATTCCCAGTTCTCTATTGAAAGATAAGACAGCAGCCTTGGGATTCATGGGTTGGAAGTAATCTGCACCTACTTGGGGATTCATCCTCAACGCCCACAATACCTCTCCAATTCACATTCAGCTTTAATAGCAGAGCACTGACGGCTGCGGGTACACTGGAATTTTAGGGCAAATTTTGGAGAGTTGGAGGATGGACCCACCAGGATTATCACTCGGATTGATTTGGGAGGTTTACTGCGTCTCAAACAGGCACAACCTCTTATGGCGAGTCTACTCTTCCCGGTCTGTAACACAGGCAGCTAGCTCAGTTATCCACTCTACATTAGCATCCCTTCTCACAGGATGAAAAGCAGAATCAGGAGGCGATCAGTAGTGCGGAACAGTGAGCTTGGCTCTAAGAGGGAGGGGTGGGTTAGTTGGTAGGCAACAACGCAAGGGCATAGGAACAGCCTTTGTAAATCAGGTCAATGGACTTTATTCATATGGGAGCCGTTTTGGATCATGTTCCCTGAATCTATCCATTTCAATGTAATCTGCCATCGGGGTGGTGCCAGACTATTTTAGGTTCCATACCTCACTTTCATTTGTATTTTTTTAAAGTGGCTTAAAACATTCGGATAAAATAAATCACAAAGGTTAAATTATTCATCAGCAGAAATAACATTAATTTGAAATGACGTTTGATTTCGGGGCTTTCATTTAACCCTGCTTTCAATTCAATCTGGCCGACTTAAGGTCAACTGCCCTGAATTCTCGTCCTGACCTCTTTGGCCTTCTGGGCCTCCAGTTCCTGCTGCTTCTTCAGCTCCATCTCCTCCAGCATGGCCGCCTCCAGGACCCGCTTGGCCTCCTCCACCCGCCGCAGCACCTCCGCCTCGATGTCGTCTTTCCGCTTCTCCAGCTCCTGCTCCACCCGCTTGGCCACCATCTCCTCCACCCGCTTGGCCACCTCCTCCTCGATCAGGCGGGCCTCCATCTCCTGCTGCCGACTGGGAAAGGGAAAGGGGGGGGGAAGAGACGGGACAAATGCTCGAGTCTTACAAGGCTACTCTTACAACAACTTGAGTCAGCAGTGTAGGAACCGGGCATCCTCGTTTTTAACCCCAACTCTACTCTATCCTCCCAAATCCTTCGGGTAGTTTTGGAAGATTTTGGAGGATTGAAGGTGAACGGCAAAAGTGCATGGCTTGTAGCTGAGGATGCCATGTGTGAAGGTCGTGAACTAGACCTTGTGTTGTTCTTGCTCAGTCACGCATGAATCCAGCCCGATATTTCTTTGGAATCAGCCGCACGGCTTAAGAAATGCCGTTCGTACTGCCTCAACGTAATGAGAGGAATTGCCGGAGGACTTTGACGAATTGAGGCAGCAGGCACAACTCCAAATTTTGGAGGATTTTGGAGCAGGGAGGATGCTTCCGAGTAAAACAGCCTAGGCGGTTAGGGTTAATCTGCACTTCTGCAGGAGTACCTGTAGTGTCTGTTTCTTAGTTAAACTAACAGCAGAACACTAGCAACTGAAAAATTCCACATTTCCCTGAAAACTGCACACTTCATTCTATTGCAAGTAAATACCATCAGACGCAATGGCAATTCCATCAATTTTTAGCGGATGAATTAAAACAGGGGTGAGACTGGAGGAAAATTTAAATGTCCACAGAATTATCAACAAAGGTCTTAATGGCCCACAGCAATATAGGGTCTATCATATACACGTGCATTTGTGTTTGCCTACAGGCACCAATATCAATTTCTTGCATTCAATGTCAATTTTTTATTCCCGAAAACACCGACAAACTCATTTCACAAGAGAGTTGTGGGAGTGTGCCACTTTACTGCCTTACATCTTGCGCTGTCTCTCCATCTCTGCCCGCCGTTCTTCCTCTTCCTTCTTCTGCTTCTCTTCAAGCTCGTTCCGCTTGCTCAGGTCCCGGCCGAAAATGTCCACGACGGGGCTGCTGCGCCCAGACTTGGAGTGCGATCGCTGGTGCCTGCGCTCCCTGTCCCTCTCGCGCTCCCGCTCCCGTCGCTCCTTGGACTTTGAGCGGGAGCGCTTGTGCGATGACCGACGGGACGAGGAGGACTCGCGGTCCCTGGACCGGGAGCGCGACCTCCGGCTGTGTTTATGCTTTTTCTTCGGTGAAGAGCTGCGACTCCTTGATCGAGGCATTGTTTCTTTTTTCTTATCACTTAGGTTTATTCAGACACGTGGAAGGGTAAGTATTTATAAGGGACTGAGGCCAGAGATTAAATCCTGAGACTTCACGACCTGAGATGTGGGAAAATGATTCAATGAAAAATGTAAACAGTTACTGCATGCTCAATTTGTAACGTTAACCTCAGTGACCTTCGCGGACCGCTGGTCAACTTGTATGCTACAACTTGTACACCGACCAACTCATACACCGGTCAACTTGTGCACAAACCAACTCATACAAGTACAGGTACACCCAGTGTACCTGTCCAACACATGTGAGGATGTCCGCCACTTTGTTGCCTGCAATACTGGATTTTTGTTTTCCCCAATTTGAAACCCACCCAGCCCAGTAGAAAATACCATGTGCCGTTAGGTGTACTGATGCTCTTAATGATTGATGGTAACTCTGAATTTATCAATGACAAAAGCCGCCATTAGAAAAATAAGTGGCTCTATCGAG